TCTGCTATAATTCGTTCCATTACTTTTGATATTACTGGGAGAAGAGTGACAGGTCTGTAGTTAGATGCACACGTTCTGATACCTCCTTTGAATATGGGGGCTATTATCCCGCATTTCCAATTCTCTGGTACCAACCCTTCTTCCAGAGAACTAGCGAACAGTTTAGCCAGAGGATAGCTAAGTGGTTCAGCGCAATGGCGCAGAAGCAGTGGTGTAACGCCATCCCACCAGGTGAAGTGTGTACCTGTAAGCCGCGAAGGTGTTTGACAATGTTAGCCCGATCAATATGCACGTCCGATGAAGTTTCGTCCGTTAGTACCTCCACAGTTTGTATAGGAGCATGCACACTTTAAGATACCTGTATGACTGGTTCTCACAGGAAATATACCCAGTGGACTAAAAATATCACAAACATTCCCAATTTATTAACGGGCATCTCAAAAATGGTTAGAAATATTTTCTGTATCCGTTAATGCCTCTCATACTTTGCCCCCTATCTTGAACGCTGTGGAGAATTATCCGAACACTATTCACGTGGATGCAGGTGAATGACATACATCAAGAGGAGTTATTCTGGCTGTTGCATGTGCTAGCTATTAGGATGATCCTTCTTGGAAAGTGTGAAGTTGCATCCAGGCTGCACTTTTCAGTTGCACACTGTCAACTTTACATACAATCATGAAAAGTGACGTGCAACCGAATTGATCCTCCACCTGTGGGATTTCCTCCGTAGAGATTTAGTTTAGGGTTGGAAGTGGGGAATCAGGGACAAGTGTTCAAAGAAAAAACTCTCCAATTACAGAGAGTTTGTCTAACTTTGCCTTTCAAATATCCTTGAATAATGTTCACTGACCTTAGCTAAAAGATGATTATATTGCTGATTATTTCTACATCCTTCCTAAAATACACCAGTCCGACGACAATATGCGGGGTTGCCCGTTTCAACAACTTGTCAGTATTTTGTTCTCATTCAAGTTTTAGACCTCGGCGCATCCACTAAATCTATAAAAGTGATTTCTATGTGCACCCAAAATATAAGCAAATATGTTATTATAGCTAGTACGAAGAAATTATTGCATAGAGATTTGCTCTTAGACTGGCTTTGCTTTGAATCAGACAAGGGCAGAGGCCAAATGACAATAAAGCCGAAAAGTAATGTGCTAGTGAGATAAAAGCTGGACATAACAAAGCATGGTTGCTTTTCGTTACAATGAGACGGACCACAAACCACCTTCACAAGTCATGCGAAGGAACAGGTGCCCGCGTTGCACTGGAGCTTAATGCACGGACAAGCTTCCAATACAATAAAATTCGAGATGGAGCATACCACCGATTAGATGAATAGTGTACACACCTGTCAACTAACCACATGGTTTTGCGAATTCCGAACAATTGTGCTGACCATTCCCGACCATCCCCGTTCAACTTGCAGTTGTCATCTGTGCCCACGAGTGCTCAACTTGGGCGAAAACGGTGGGAACATGGATAATACAGTCTGTGAAATGGTATCAAAGTAATGTACTCGATAACGCTTCCACCCTCAGGAATGTGACCAGTCAGTCATCGCTTTTCCAAAGATAATCCGCGATTGGCAAAACAAGTTAAAACACGGAATGGTTTTTAGTGGTGACAGCAACCGATTATTTTGGCAACTACGAGTCTTGTCCTTCTGAACCACTTCAGACGAGTCTTATATTTTAGTATATTAGCTTTGGGGAATGTACGTCCGGCAGTGTGATGCATATGATGCTCTCATTGCTTTTAAAGTAAAGACGAGGGGCAGTTACGATGTCTACCATCGAGTTTGTCCCAACCCAGAAGTGAACCAGAAGCAGGTTAAAATGTTTATGACCTCGGTTTTGCTAGTAATACTCATTTCAAATCCAGCATGATTAGCGGGGCATTTCAACCTTGAAACACACATTTCTGGTGCCGGTTACTGAGGCACGAACTCGTAGGTGTTGCAAGAGAAAAATAAACTCATAGTGATAAAATCCAACAGGAATCAGAATACTCTGAGGCTGCTTTGAAGATAGTCGTGAGCTGTTCTTTGAGTAGTCATAATTTTGGTAGCCTATTCATGTGGTTTCTTTTTAACGATTGATTACGCATATTGCCGCACTTTTGTAGCTTATGAACTGGAGGTTAGTATTATGGGAAGGATCTTGCAGCAGAGCGCATTTCTCCAGTGAAACTCTACTATTCGTTTCTGACCGAAACACCAGATATTTATGGATTTATGAGGTCGGTATACAATACGGTACTTCGTATAACCAGTTTCGCCAAGTTTGTGGCTCACTGAATTGCTTACCTTCTCGAATTTCAATCAATCTTGTTTCTTACTGAACATTTTACGAGATGTAGATTCAGATGAACGCTGACTTTCAAATTGAGATGGTGCTAGCGGGCGATTCAACGGAATTTCTCAACAGACTCGGCTAAACTTAAGTGGATTCCCATGTTAACTCCTTCCCTGAACACAATTTTTTATCGGCTGTATCAGTGTTTCGCTCGTTATGAACTTTGAAACCTTTTAGTTTAGTAGCGTCTTCGACACTTTCGCTTCCCAGAAAAGCAATGTACATGATGTTTACCAGTTCTACTTTTAGCTTTAGTAAAATTGATTATGATAATACTATGCATATGATGTCTATACAACATTTTTGTGCCTTTTTACCCTTTCAAAGATTTACTTGCATTTGAGGCACTATACCTGTCCGAACGAGCAACGTTGGGTTGTGCGTATCCTGTTCTATGTTCCTATTTATGCGTTCGAGTCGTGGATTAGTTTACTGTTCCTAAAGCACGAAGACTACTATGTATACTTTGATTCTGTCCGGGACTGCTACGAAGGTAGGTTCGTTGTTTTCTTTCTCTTTTGCAATAATTACTTCATCGAATCACCTAAGTCTGCTACAGAGGACTTCAACCATAGAAGTTTATCACAAAATATATGGTTAAGATGTTGCCATAGGTTGTTCAACTAGGGCCGTTTCCAGTATTCTGCATGTACATGATTGACATTTTGGGTGCCTGCCCTGTTTGCGTTGACTATAATGTTCCCTGGAAAATCTCTGATCTACACGAAGAGCTGAAGGATTAGCGTTTAAATGGCACTAAAGTACGTGATGATTTCAGTGTCGCCCACTTCACTAAATTGCTTCATTTTTCTGATACATTTCCCAATAGCTTTAGGTGTCGTGCACCTTAATTTTCTGACTAGATTTTATTTACCCCATAGAATATCATTATAGTCCCTCCCCGGTTTGAGTTCTTGGCCGTGGTAGACGGCAGCTTTTTCGGTTATGTGGCGTAACCTTGTCTCAATGGTTTGTATACATTCTGGATCAACACGAAATCGCGGTGACAATTTGTAAACGAGGTGGTTCTTGCACGAGTCGCATAACATGCGTGAAACAACTATATGCGCACTGTAGACGGTTGTAGGTGCAAATGGATGCCGATTTGTCATCAGCTCTCAAAACTTCTACAGTGCTAGGTCATCTGTGGTTATTGTTGAGGGATACTGCCGCTGGTAAGACGAACAAGCTTAGTTTCGTCGATAGAGGCCAGGTGCGATGCAATCATTTCATATAGCAATTGAAAGTGGAATAAAAGAGCGAAACGAAATGAAGTACTGACGCGGACTTTAGGTTCTTTGTTAAGGCGTGATGGTCAGTAAGAAAAACAGTTCAAGAACGGCGAACAAAATCTACTCCGCCATGCTGAATATGCTGCAACTATATATTGCTGGAACAGGGGTTGGGGGTCAGGTTTATGGTGGGCATCGGACTACTCAAATGACATGCTTGGAAGTGGTGGTCATGAGCACTGATTGAACCCAGCTGTAGTCGATGCACTGGAGGGACAGATCAGAATATGACAACAGATGTGGCTGACTGGTGTGATTCAACTTACACTTTCCCGGTCAGTTACCGGGCTAATTTCGCCAAGCTCAGAAAACGAACAAATTGAGCTAGCAATATTCTCTTTATTCTCATATTCTTCTTTTTGATGACAGTTTCGTAAGCACAATAAATATGCATTATCACTAACTGGACTATTGTTCAAAGTTGCGTAAGATCTGTAATTGTTAGTGTAGAACCTTCTCAAAGGCTATTTAATTTGTTCCGAAACAGTGAATAACTCTTCTATTAAAGGTTATTTGTTCACTCAGCAGCTCTCGCTGTAACCACATGTTTTTGGAAAAAGCTAGTGTGTGATTACTTCATTCTGATTATTTTTGTCACAACTTTGGCTATCAGTTGCAAGGGTATTCTCGGAATAAGGTGTGTCCATTCATATGCGGTCGTATTGGATTTATTATCCGCATTCTGTCTCTCGTTCGATAGCAGCTTCGCCCAATAGAAAAGTCCCTCGTTCCACCCACTCTCTGCGTTTGAGCGGACGCGATCGATAGGAACAGAGGACAAGCTTTTCCTATCGCGTAAACACGTTACAGGACATCCTTCTACTTCCGACAAAACAGATGTGGGCAAAGCAACTTAAATTAGTATCCATAAAACAATTAAAAGAACATTTTCCTTCCAGTTAACGCTCTAACTTTATTTATTAAATACCTGTATTCGATTGGAAGGAAAATGTGAGGAAATAGCTGTGGGTTAGGTATGGATTCTGGGTGGACAGTATTGACTATGCTCATCACCCGTAATAGGTCTACTAAATAGTCGGAAAGGATAACTATGAAGGCTAAAACAATAACTTATACCTGGGTGCACCTGGTAGAGGTGGTCACTCTCCTGAATCGGATTTTCCTGGCAAATGAGAGCCTGGTAGATCTCTGGGTTACAGAGCATGAACCCAATGCATGTACACATCTACGAATGAGACAAAGTGAGAAACTCAGACCTTGATAACCACCGACCGTGACGCATCAGCTTTGTAAGTAATTTGACCAACAGCCAAGAGTTTTCTGTGTCGTTCTCTGTATAACTCATTTGCGCTTGTTACAACTGGGTGACAACACATCGTGTGCAACAAATGATGGTTCCTCCTTGATGTTGTTTGTAAGCAAAAACATAGAGGTCGCCGTGTTGGACAAATCCAAATCTTATAGAATTGGGGACCGCGTGATCCTCACTGTGCCTGGTTGGAGACACTACAAGATATGGCTGCCAACCGATGTCAGTGGCGTTCCTGTTGTCACTTTCTATCCAGATTGCCTGAGTGAATGTCTGGAGGAGTAGCCACCTCGGAATGATTGTGGTAAGCTAGCACTAAGTCCCTCCCCCGTCCACCTCTACTCTTTTCTTTACAATAAGGCTTTCAAATAAATCATGGTTGTACGGCAGTGAAGCATTGGTGTTGAACACTGATGTCATGCTGTCGTTGGTGGTGGTGGTGGTGGTGAATCTTATAGAATAGACTCAGTTTCCAAGCCAGTCACTTGAAGCTCAAAGACCGAGCAGTATTAAGCATTCCAAATATCTCGACATCGTTTTCCTCAATTCGTTGTATCCCTGATATTAAGCATGTCACTTAGAGCAAATCTATACATATCAGGTGACGGAAAAGAAAACAGGGTTTTATCAAAAGGTAACCAATTTGATGGAAAGCTTTATGATGATTTGTCGATTCATTGTGTGCACTGAGTAGTCAATCGACATGCGGAGACAAACGAGGTGTATTGGAAATTTACAAAGCTTCTCTACAAATATAAAAATTGGCAGATACATAAAGCACACTGAACAAAGAACCCGTGAGTTCTTGTGAAATCGCCTTCCGACGAGTCTAATTTCTGGTGAGAAACACGAAATTTACAGGAACAAGTTTCTATGGATCAAAGTAATAATAAATGCAATAGGCTATTACATTGGTCACTTCATGATTTATGGGCGATTGACCCATTCGCCCAAATTACATGGTAGCCCTAATTTACTCTTCTTGTAGCCAGCGAGTGAACATTGAGCAGTGGATATTCCGTCCTGTGACTGTAGTTAATTTATGTTCAAGAATTGAGAAGCACTATACTACTATTTCGTCCTTATTAGGAATTCTTTGCGGTCCGTGTCTGAAGACTCTTCAGGGGGATTTAGATGGCTCTTATTCTGTTTGAGTACAACCTTGCTACAATACTTATCAGTAGCTCAGAGTTGGATCGCCTGTTTTCCAACCAGTAGCTCAGAGGTCGCGGGTTCGAATATCTTTGGGGATTTGTGAATGAAGGAGATGTACAGCACTGCTTTGATTTTCGGTATACCTTGGTTTTACTAACAAAAGGAAACCTTCTTCCAAAAATACACTCATTTGCAAATTTATTTGGTTTTCACGATAGACTCAACTGAATCTCTTGTTTACGATATTCTATAATTGTTTCAGTTGGCACGATATTCGAGATATCGCAGTATATTTTCATAAAGGAAACTACTCACAAGGTTACTGAAACATGAGGAGGCCAGTGTGCAGCACATTCAGTTGTAGAATATCATAAACGAGAGCTTCAATTGAGTCTCTCGTGAAAACTCAATTGACTTGCAAATGAGTGTATTTCTCTAAAACAGTCCAATTTGGGTTCAAGTAGAACATAAGGCTGACAGGAACTCGGGGACTGCACCTACCTGATGAGCCCCAAGAAGGGCAAAACCGGTCGTGGGCTTTCGAAGAGTTTTCAGCAACCTTGTGAGTAGTTTCCTTTATGAAAAGGAAACATTGCTTGGAATTACCAAATTTCTTTACACCGTTGAGGTGAATCAACACCCAGAGTTGTTTTACTCATGCCTGATTCACAGCTTACAAGCACAACCGTACCAACAAAAGAAACCATTTGTTGTTTTTAAAATTAAGAAAATTTACGCAAAACTAGTCAACTTGACTAATGTCAATGGAGAGGACTAATGAAATTGAAATCAAGGGAGGATTAGACAGAGATTATTTCATACGTGGGTGTGCTCACTTTTAAGGGGTTACACTGATTCTAAAGCTTATGCTTAAGTCGGATTTTTAGTGGGTGTCAACTTGCATAATTTGCCTCCTTACCCTTCATCTTTTCAGCGTTTGTCATCTACAGTTTCCTCAGTCTATGTTATGAATACTTGGGAGGTGAGAGTTGCATTATGGCGGAAATTCGTGGAAAGGAGCTACCGTAAGTTATAATGATGGGAGGTTTTCTCTTCTAATTTTTTAATGCGTCTTTTTTTATATAGCACACAGTGAAGTTATTAGAGACATACACGCGTAGCTGCCAGTCGTTTTCGTTGTTTTTAACTGCATCCAGAGGATCTTGTGCTTGATTAAATTTCTTTATACAGGTATTATTATGCACAGGCAGGGAGATCATGAATTAACAAATGTAACAGCGAGAAGAATACATTTGTGAATTATGTTGGATCAAAATGCCGTCAACCAGATCAGACTGGAACTTCTTGCCATAATTACTCAGGACAAGTCTGGCTCACAACGGCACCTAGATGTCAGCTTGGGAGCCCGGTTAAGTAGTGTAGCCCACTCACTGCTGAGGTCCGTTATATGCTATGTCCTGTAGAGACTCTAACCAAGTGGAAGATGATCATGCAAGACCCCAGCCAAGGAAGCGCAGAGACTGTATCTGCTTGCATCTGCTTTTATTTCACATCATCAAGTCGTGGCGTCTTTCGCGAACATTCGTCAACGATAGCTTATTTTGGTACGCATAAAACATGGCTCATCAGTTGTTTTGCTGCTTCACTGATCCTGATTCGTCATCAAGTCCTAACTTGTCAATTATGGACAAAAACAGTCAGCTGAGTTCTGCTGCGGTATGAGAGATGGAATACAATGTAACCTTTCGAAGTGAGATGGTTCCTCAAGTACGTCTTTTGCCATAGTGCGGCCATTTCTACAACCGTGTATCTTGAAAAGGCAGACACCATCTTGGTAGCGTACTGTTGACAACAGGGTTTGTGAAGTATTCCAAACTTAACCGGTAGCCGATTATTGAATAACAACTATTTCTAGGGCTACTTTCAACGGATGCTTCTGCACCGTATTGACTTTATATCTCGCAGTCAGACGTACCGCAGCTAACTTTGGGACTAATGGGAACCGTCTGAATTTACTGAAATAAACCAGATCATAACAATTAATCAACCGTAAATGGTGTTGCAAAATGCCATTCCAAGCAAACAGGAAATGTGACAGTCGACTCTGGAAGAACAACCTTAACCTATGTCAATGGACACGCTTCACTGACTTTATCAAGTCTCCGTTTGTCTATGGAAGGAATCGGACAAATTTGATACATCTGGTCTGAAGCTTAGTGGCAGGTGATCATTATTTAATTGAAGTATTCTTGAACCGAACTTAGGGAGAATCTGCCTACTCTGTGTTTTTGATGTCTCTTTACTAATTCACGGATGAATCAGATAAACGCAATATCTACTGAGACAAATAATTTTGCTACTTACTACAACTAATATACTGCCCCGAACACGCTTCTATAATAGCAAATGACAGAATATGCTTTGAGAGGAATCTTTTCGAGCGGAAAGTGCATCATCAAAATAGTGTTGTTTCGAACAAGCGGTTGTGGTTCTGTTAACTGGGATTACCGACAAGCGAAGATATTCTATTTCAAATTTTGACAGGAGTAGTTAGTCAACTCTGTGGAAACAGCGGATTCAGGCTGTTGACGCACGGTCATATTGATGAACTGTTCTGAGTCCACCTGAAACACAACTGACTAGTTTCAGTATTACTAAAAGAACGACCTCTTCAGCAATCATGTTATAAAGCTAATTCAGAATACCAGTTCTTTGGGTAATGTATCTTGATGTTTCTTCGTGTTGTCTTTAGCGTAGGACAAAAAGACCTAACTGTGCCTTCAATGCAATCGATTCAGAGGATACAACTGACCCTGTCAGTTTTGTTTCACCTTGACACTCTGAGGTACGCTGTTTGCACCACCGATCTTTGAATTTGCGGTTCTAGTTTAGGGCGAAGGCCTTTACTGTTCCTAGCTTGCACCAAACTTCACTTGACTATTGTTTGCTGTAATACCAGTGTTCATCCGTACTCCATAGCCCAGCATCATCAGTAGATCGCGATTTTTGTCCGAACTATCTGATTTGTCAACATTAAAACTTCAAATGAGTGCTCTTTTCTTGTGCACAACCGCGTTATCCGTGGTCAGAGCCGTCCACTTGAAATAGAGTCACTGTGCTATGGTGTTCATTATCGACCCAAGTTTTTTGTTCTTAAGCTCTCCTTAATTATACTGCGCTTGGCCAAGTCACAGTAGGTCATTCCCATACGCATGAATTTGTTAGCCTGTGCGTCGGAAGGTGTATCCTCAAGCTGGTTATATGGCACAAAGTCTTCGGCGCGTTTTTTTCTTGCACACCAGGGTCTATTTGCTCTACATACTGTTCATAGACCGTGATATATGTACTCGATAATTATACATGTGTTCTCATATGTAGAAAATAGAGGCAAAACATTCTGGCTTCAAGAAGGTTTCACGTTGGTGAAGGTTTAGTATCATTCTTCTGAGTCGTTCTGCGTTTTATACTATTGTTTTGAACTCACAGCGTGTTGCGTAGAAATGGGATCAACACCAGGCGAGTTCTCATATTAATGTTTTGAGTGACCGAGCAGTAACTTGCAACAGATTCTCTTTTCCCAAATGGTCTGGTATCTATTCCAGTCATTTTCAAAATCTAGATGAAAACTTTTAATGGGTTCTATGTTTGCGTTTTAATAAGACAGGACTTAGTAAGACATTAGGTATATCTGCTTACATACATGAACAAGGGACGTTTTTAACCTTGATATGTTAGTTTGAGTCAAGTCACCACTGAATTCACCGGACATTTATAGTGACTATATGCAAATATCAAGCTCAGGTTCGTACTCTTTCAAATACGATTATCCTTATTACCCTATCCTGTGTGACCCAAGGAACTTCGCTTAAAATTAAATACTTCTAGGGATGACCGACAATTCGCATTCAAAAAAGGCTAGCTCGTCTTACGCTGAGGACAATGAAAACATGCTTTGTTGATATCCTAGAAAACGCGTTGGCTTCTGTTGGAAACGATGTGTGGGAAAAAGTGTTCAGTGTGAGTTCCAATAGGTACACAATTAAGACAAAAATTGGAAGTTCTAGTTTCCAGAATGAAGACAGTTTACGAAACTCTGTCTTTTGAAAACGAATGACGACTTGACCTACTTAAATGCGGGTTGCATAGCACTGTGGGCGGAAAATTCCTCGCATCCACCTGTCCGCCTAATTCTCAAACAAACGCTTCATTAACCCGGTTATGAAAGTCAGCTTGCCAGTCTACACGCAACATACACCAGACTATTTTCGCCACTGCGTACGAATATGCGTATCCTTCAAAGATTCCGCGCGAAAACCAGAGACGTTATGGCCGTAGTGTAACACCTGGTTGACACCAGTCACTTATTTAGAATAATGCACGAAATGACGTTTAAGCTACTCTGAGTAGCGCGAAACGGGACGACTGCAGTGGTCGAGACTACTGCTATCAGGCTACATGCCTTTTCCTACGCCGGTTAATGATTATCTTAAGTGTGTTAGATTTACTCTGTTCGATATCTGTGATAGTTACATCTTTTATGCGACTGCAACGCTCTTTAGCATGTCTGAATTATCAGGCAGTGGACATCACATAAAAGTGTGGACCATCGTCACTGGATCCGTCAGTTGACCAACCACGGTCTCACCTAATCCACTTTCGACTCATGTTGTTTGTCTTAAAGAAACCAGAACAAGAAGCTGAAAACAAAACCTTCGTAGTGCCGAATCTCACTCATTTTCCGGTTTCAGCAAATGTCATCTTGGTGACAATTGTGTAATTGTGAGAGACTGAATTTACAATCTGCCAAACTTTAGCAAGCAACCCAGCGCATGGTTCCAAATGAAGTTACCAGGTATTCAACAGGTATTTGAAAAACAACAAACATTTAAGTATAAAAGGTTACGAAATGTTGTGGACCACATCTATAGAGGTTTTAAGATGTTTGAATTGAGTTGAGATCTGCGGTCTAAACTGACACTATAGTCTACCCGATCTTAACGCGTGTCCACGTACCAACATCTACAAACATGCAACTGGTACAAATATCCACGTATTATTGGTAACCTGAATCCAGCAACCGATTTACCATTTTGGTGATAAAACTGCATTATTTAAACCCTTTAGGGGTGACACATCCGTTGAACCTGGTCTCTCATTTTTTGTCTAATCCGGTAATGATCAAGAAAGGGCTGATAACTATTGGGTCATTGACTTAGGGTTTGGTAGAATGGTAAAGCTCAGTCACCGGAGGCCCTTTGCCACCCGGTGAAACCAACTTGGCTCATTGTCGTGACTGGCTGGTATTTCAGCATTGAACTTTTTGTGTTAACTTGGTCCCAATAATATAAGAAATGTGCTTCAATCAGCGTGTGATCAGTTGCTGATTAGCTGTTGTTTACGGTGTGTACCTTGGATGCCGGCGATTATTTTGGCGAAGCGCTCGCCTTAGACACGAACATGGGGATGAAAAGGTTGTATCGGCGCAACATATTAGACACCTGAATGCTATTCTTTAAGAAATAAGTTGGAAAGAGCTGCAAACGTGATCCTCAAAAATTCTTCAGGCTTTTTCAATAGGAGTCCCTTATGCGAAGGCTTATAGTTGTAAGACGTCGCTCCTCATGCTCAGGGAGCAATATTGTAATATCGCGAATTGCACTTTGGTCGCTACAGGTACTGGTTACTTTGATGAGTTTGAGCAGTAAACTTGTTGGTATTTGAACATTCCTAGAATGAGCTCAACACTTTAAACCCCTCTTTTTTTGTCGCACTTTCCTCTTTGGCTGCACCAATTAAATCCGCGCATCGAAGAAAAGAACGCCAGTGTTTACAAGGTCCCGTTCGCTGATCAGAAAACAACTTAGATTTATGATTTGACTGTTCAAATCTGGCCGTATATCTTCGTGTGTTTCAAGACGTTTGGTTGCAGAGTCTAAAATTGAGCTGTAAGAAATGCCCTTAGGCTCTAACACTTCTTCCAGAAGCAACCTGTTTCTATAATCGTTCATCTTGGTGTTGCTTACTAAACTTATTTGATCTGCCTACGTCATTATAATTTCATACTTACTGGGTCAGGTTACTTTGCTCAACCAACATTACATATGTTTTCAGGCGTTCATGGGCGTTCTGTACATGTTGCTTCTATGGCCGTACCTATACAATAGAGTTCCTCCGCTTCTGTAAACAGGTAAGTATATTACTAACCGCATTTGAGCTTCCTTAAGATATATTTTCAGCAAGATCTGGTGAAGTTTGGTAGCTTATTAGTTTATTCTTTGTGTGCTACATTTATGACAGCTACTCGGACTAATCATGGCCAAGCACATCCGTTTTTAAAACACGTCCGGATGGTAACCACATTTACCTTAATTCACCTCGGGCGAAAACTGCGATTGACAAAGCCGAATTTTTTTCGAGTGAGCTTCAGAGTCGCAGCGTTCTTTCCAAGTATTTTTCCAGTTTGGATTGTGTGCCATTTTTCAAACCTTAAATAAAGTCTTTTGCAACTGGTGTTTGGTTGGACTCAAAGAACTTGGAAGTCACATCTTTTTCCCAGGACTATGTATCAGTGGGTACACCCTATTAGTTAGAAGGTCGACAACCGTCCTCCGGATGACAGACATCTGCTTGTTAAGTTACTGTTTTTTACTTCCAGTTCACCGGTAACTTCTGTATGGTTCCAGAGGACATTATGACATTTACCAAATCATTAAAACACTTACTTCCTGATGCATGTTTTCATCAAGAAATGATGTTGAAGTAAAATGTGAACTGGCTGTATGTCGGAGGACCAGCGTTAACGACGGTACAGTTTATATATATATAT